AATTTCCTTCCTGGGATAGTAAGGAAAAGCACATCCCTTTGGGAAAAAATTCTACTCATAAGAATGAATCTCTAACACTTGTGGATTTATGTATTTGACCTTAACTTCCTAATGAAGAATGCTTTAGCTTTTCCAGGGCTCAGTTCTAGAACCCTCAACCTTGGAATGTCAGTGAGGATGCCTCCTCTTTCTCCCTGAAAGATGGACCCCTGTCTCATTCAGTCAATCATCCTTGTGCTCCCTGGGGAAGTTAGACTCCAGTACTCATTCTTTACTCTAATCTGCTCCTCTTTGCTCTCAAACTTGGTGGCACATGAGAATCACTGTTCTGTAACTATCATTCTGTTTTCCCTTTTTCATACATTCTGACTTATTTTAACTCTTTTCTGGAAGTGATATAATTAGATACTCATGAAAAATTAAGGTGGTGAAGACTTAACTAGGAAATCAGAAAGGGATCTTAAAGTTTATTTGAAATAACACCTTTTCTGCCAGCCTCACAACAATGATTTGAGGATAAAATGAGATGATAGATGTGAAAGGGTGAAAGGACTTTAAAGACTGTTTAGAGCTTTATGCAAATACAAAGTTGTTTTGTTATCTCCACATTTTATGATACCAGAAATCAGTAGCTTTGTTGGAAGCAAATTTGAGTTGTGAATTTTTTTTTAAAGGAATATGTGATAATGGAAGATGACTATTTGGGTGAAGCACAAAGCCATTCTATTTCCATGTGCTTTGTTCCTGTCTTCCACAGCAGTAAACCTGAAATAGAGGTTTGCCTTGTTCTTTATCCCCCCCAAAGAAAAGAACTGAAAAGAACTGGCCCACATTTCCACTTTAGACCATTTCTCTGAGTGCCAAGAGATTGTTTCGGCAAAAGAAACTAATCTGCAGATAGCTCTGACCCCACACAATGCCTGGCATCAGGGCAAGGATTTTAATTAAAATGGAAGAGTTGGTAATTTCTGGTCTATCTGGGAAGCTTAAAGTTGATGTAGTTTGAATGAAAAGAATGACTTTTGCTTAAAATGCAAATATTAATGTAAGAAAAAGTCTGGAATTGGCTCTCAGTGCAATTGAAAGAGATTGTAATTTCTTTTTCATGTCTCTCCCCTTAGAGAAATGATCTTTTTCCCTCCTGAAACTCTGTGATATATACATCTAACATATAGAGTAGTATTAATAATTTTTTTTCCTCCTTAACTACCCTTTCAGTTGGCAGTTTGTCTTGAAACTGTGCAAATTTTTGGTATTAAACATCTTTGAAAAATTCATGGGAGTTTGCTGTTATTTGCTTTTATCTGGATGACATAAGCCAGTTTCAGAAATAGTTTTTCTTCCAGGGTTTCTTTTCATTTTGGTTTTGGAACAGTATTTGCCAGCAGACCCCATGGTCTTAATGACACAGTAAGCAAAAGTGTCCATATCTACCATGGGATTTGTCTGGACCAAAATAAATTTTTAAGCTTCGAAGTAACATGTTTTACTCTTAGTTTAAGCAGGTTCATCTCATTACCAAGTATTGCAATGATGAAAGTGTGTATTTTGAATATTGATAAGACATTAACAAGAGTAGATGTCAATATGATCAATTTTGCCACTATATGTTAAGCAGTGATGCCTTTTACTAATTAATAATCACTGTGAGAAGCAAAAAGTGGACAAAATGAGGACTTCTAATAGCTTGAGCATTATTAACTTATTTTTTTTTATGTTAAAGAAAAATTTGTGGTAGGACTAAAAAATTAAAATCATCCATCTTCCCACTACGTAATAAATCATGCTTTCTTTTTTCTATTACCTTCCCACATCTTATTGATATATGTACAAATATTTATGTAATTGTAATTTCAGTATGCAAGCATTTTTGAGCTTAACATTTTTCATTCAACATTCATTACTTAGAAAGTGTTTTTTCCCCCATCTCCATACATAAAGCTGCTTTACCCAGTCTCCCGTTGTAGAACATGTAGCAGAATTTATTTATTCAGTTATTTTTTGGTTTCTATTTACATAATGCTGCAATGAACATCTTTACCCAAATTGAATTTTTTTACTTTTTGCAGGGAAACTTTTTGTTTTGTTTTGTTTGTAAGAATGAATGGAAAGTAGTGAAATTACTGTGCCAAATTTCCAGCACTTTCTGGTAGTTGAAGGCTTGGGAGGAGCCAGGTGCAGGAAGACACTGTAGGTGACTCAGATTGCCCCTCTCTATGAAAGTGGTGAGTTTGTAAGGAAGAAAGGAGAGGACTCCTCAGCAGAGTGCCACCCCAGTGCCGCCGGCTCCAGGACAGAAGCAAGACCAGCTTTAGAATGCTCGGGGACATTTTGCTACCAACCCCTTTCCTTTTGTTAAACAACATCATTTGGAAGTGACTTTGGGTTTGAATCAGACTAACTGCAAGGGTGAATCCACCCTCCTTACTGAGAAGTGGACTGTCTTTGGGGTTTTTATTGACAGTGCTCCTAACAGTGTTGGCTTGTGGGTGTGGAAGATTTAGCTCTGACCAGGGAAGTCTAGAAAAAAGTGGTAGGAAGGGCAAGGGATGTCAGACAGAAGGGATAATGTAAATGAAGAGGTGGAATGCCTCTGAACCACCTTCACTTTGCAAACAGGAGGGTTTTCCAAAACTATTTCTTTTACCCACCCAGAAGGACAAAGATGTTAGCTGGAGTTTAGTCAGTACTTCTTTCATCAAAACTGGAGTCTGGGGAAGCAGAAGGAGAATAGCAGACTTTTTTAAAGAACAAAATCACTATTAAGTCTCAATTCCCAAAATCTCTCATCACTAATGACCTCATAACAGAGCTTATCATTTATTTCCCTTTTCTTTTCAGCTAATGGGTTCTTACTAGTTTTGTCAAACTGCAATTAAATAAATCAGTGAACTTCACCTTTTCTAGCAAGACTCTTTTTAAAAGAAACAATATTTTAGGAAAAAGAAAAACTGCAACTACCACAAAAACAGACCACATTATGAGATTTCCAATTTTGTCCAATTTTGTCCAATTGTTCTCCGGGACACCCAGTCTTAGAACAGACTGCAGGAGCTGTGATAAGAAGTTCTTCTATGGTAACAAATGCAAAATTGAAAACCCATTTCAGCCGCATTTGAGCTCAAATAGTTATCACTCTGTCTTTTCACCAATTACCTGTCTGTATACTTTTCACCAGCTCAGGCACTATGGCCATGTTCAGTGTCTTGTAGGCTTTTAAATAATATTTTTCTTTTTTTTTCTGTAACAGTTATTCAACCCCACATCTAACCCTTTACCTCCAAAAAACCAACAAAACTATAGAAAATATATATAGATTTTAGTAATCAATATACTTATCTGTAGAATGAAAAAAAAAATGATAGGTTGCACTGCATTGTTCTCAAAAGCATACAGAAGCTGAACAAAATACAATGAAATCATCTGACACAAGCCCATGAAGGTCTTTATTTTTCTGTTCTACCAATCTTCCAGGCAAACAAGACACCAAGTAACCCTTGGTTAAAACTTACTGTGCAGCCTAGAAATGGCTACAGATATATTTCAAAATCACACTTTAGTACTTTCACACATCTGAAATATTTTTCATATTCTATTAGCACTTTTAAAACCATTTAAAGACTTTAAAAATGTTCAGTGCCTGTCTAGAAACGTGGTTTCTTGCTGTAGGCACAATAAAGGAATTAAAGTATTGAGTGAAGAAGGCCAGACAGAAGAGATTTACAATATAGTCTGTAAACAAGATGCAATTTATTGTGTTTTCTGAAAATCACTTTGCCTTTGTAGCTAATCCATGAAGGTAAACCATCATCCAGGAGACTGGCTAGAATCAACTGTAAATCAAGGCAAAGTGGAACCTGGAAAAGAAAGAAAAAGTCTCCAAAGAAGGGAGGGAATGAGATTGGAATTAGGTGGCAATCAATTCAGGGAGGATTTATTTAATAGAGACCATATTTGAACCAAAATTAAGAATTGGTTCAATCAATAGGAGAATAGGTTATACATTACATAGATTGCTGTTGGTCTATCTCATTTGATTTTGATGGTAATCCTACTAAATACAATGATGTCCATTTTGTACCTGGAGAAAATGAAGCTCATTTGGTTATAAACAAATTAGTGTAAATTAGTGTTTAGTATCATACAGCTAGAAAGTTGTGGAGCTGGAACCAGGGTTCCAAACTTCTATTTCACTAGTGTCTTTTCACTTAGCCATTCTGCCATTCTATCTATCATTCAGGTACTAACTTGAAAGTTAGAGCTGTAGTATTCTTTAAATGGTGAGGGGTGGGGACTCAGTTCAGCAAAGGAGTAGGAGAAAAGATGGAACTGAGAAGCGGTCAGTTTTGCCATGTTGGGAATAGACTAGTCAGTGCAGGCAGAAGTCCATGGTCTGGTTAATCCTGCAAGGGTTGAGGCTTCATTTGTTCATCCAGTCTGCTTACTTGCATATAGCTTGGACTTTGATTAGTCTTCAGACTCACATACATCAGGGTTTTGTTTGCTTGTGATAGTTGAGTTTGGAAATTCTCTTTTGATAGCTTTGTAATGAGGCATAGGTATGGACTGCTGAAGGAAAGGCTTCCTTGGAGGTGCTCTATGTGCCCAGTTCCCACGGAGGCACTGTCTCCAGTTCTGCAGTAGGAACAAGAGAGACAGCAAGTGACCTAGCTTTTTATCACAGTTGATTCTCATATTATTCCCTCTGCTGGCCTATTTTTATTTTTGAGGATCATGAGATATAATATCCACATAAGGCTGAAAGATCCCAATGCTTTTTATCTTTGTTATTGCACCATGTTTTCTAATCCCAAAATTATATTGACCTAATAACCTTGGGAAAGTCACTTTCTCTAGGTGAACCCATTCTGCAGAACCTCTGGAAGCCTGTGAAAGGGTTTCCTAAGGAAAGTATTTTGCATTTGCAGTCACTGACTATGTGTTCAAGGATTTAAATTGCCTTTTCTTTCACAGTGTCTGCTTTTGCTTTTCCTTCCCAGAGTCGAAAACATGCAAGCAAAGTCCGACTGTATTACATGCTTCATCCCCGGGACGGTGGGTGCCCTGCCAAGAGGCTCCGGTCAGAAAATGTGAGTATCCGACACCATGTGATAACCTGAAACAGTTTGTTCTGTTGGCAAATAACTTTGCAGGCCTAGGAATAGTTGTCATGCCTAGCTTAGCTGAAAAATGGAGTAGAAGTAGTTCTTAAATATTACAGGAAATATTACATGTAAGCAAGTCTTTTTTTTTTTTCCCCCTTCCTGGGCTTACCAGTCTAGCAGTGGAGGGTTTTTTGATGCTATTGCACCAAGACCATGCAGAGAAAGAATGCGTGAAATTCTGGGACACAGAGAAGCTGAGGGAAGGGAGGTAGGAGCCATCAGAGATGGAGAGTAGGAAGCCAGGATCTGAAGGCAAAGCTGTCAGGAATATCAGATGCTTTGCATTTTAGATAATTCATTTTTCCCTTTGGTGTGTAAAGCAGAATGCCAATTTGTTCCTTATAATGAAGACTGTGTACATCTTGCAAATGAAAATACTTGGGTTTTTGTTCTGCGTCCCCTCTCCCAGAGGGAATATTTATTTGGAAAGGCAAATGATGATTAGAAAGTTGCTTTGAGGGTGTAAAGTCAGAGCAAAGGGTTTACTTCAGCCAGGCAAAGACTGATGAAATAAATATTCCTTCCTCCCGCAGGGTTTACTTTTCCTAATGAAGGGAATATTCATATCCCTCCTTTGCAGAATCCCTCCTTGATAAACACTGCGGATTATATAGAAATCCCTCTTCTTTTGAATTCTGAGGAGGCTGCAGGCATAGAGTTATATACCCCCTGCCATCACATGTGTTTATCATCCTGATTTTTTGCTACTGTATAGAAGCTAGTCTTTTTATTAAAAATTAATATATAATCATTGAAAAAACATGATTAAATTGTACTTGTGTATTCTTCATAGATAAAAAAGAACAAGAGGCCTACATGTGACCACAGGTAGTGAGTGTCAGTTGGTGCTGTTAGTGAGTACCAAATGTGCTCCTTAGCATCCCCCATATGAACTACTCATATACAGGCTAATCTGGAACACTTTGGGGTTCTCTTTAGTGTCTTGGTGAAAAAGCCCTTAGAGCTTATTGAAAGCAAAGATGTCATGGAAACTTTACCAGCTGCTAAGAAGTGGGACTGAGTCTAGTTCTGCCAGTTCTTAGCTGTCAGACAAATAATTGAGGACAAATAATTGATCTCATTGAATCTCAGTTTCTTCAGTAAAGATATGATTTCCTTACTGGGCTTTTGTGGGTATGACATTAAATGATAGGTAATGAATACATGATAAATATATGCCAGGCACTGAGGAAACAAAGAGAAAGGACCCACAGAATTGCCTTAAACAACTCTTATAGTGGGGAGGCTAGTGTGGTATAAAAATAGCTATAATGCCAGTGTGGGTGTTTATTAACATCTGCACAAAGTCCCATGGAGACAAAGGGCAAGTGAGTCATGCTAGGGTGATCCGATTAGGGAAGATGTTACTGAAGAGTTGGCATTTGAGCTGGGGTCTTGGGTTTAAAGTTACTGTCCGAGAGAGTGGTGGTGGGAGTGAGGAAGGACAGGGCACTTTAAAGTGCATTTCTATCAAAAGAACTTTTTAAACCACAGGAGAGATGACCCAAGCCATTTTTAAGTAATTGCCCCATCCTACAGCGATGGTGGGGCCATGTTTCCATAGGTATCTATTAGTAGAGAGATTAGTTTCTTCCCCTTGGAATTATCCAGGAAGGGTATCTGTATCCTTCATTCAATGGTATCTTATCCTAGCAGTCAGAAACAATAAGTTGCATTGACACTTGAAAATTGGCTCTTAGGACACAGATCGTATTTTATCCACTCACATTCTAATCATGAGTGGTCCACTTTTTTGAGCCCCTGGGGAGGACTCAATCAGAGCAAGCACAAGGAGGCACTGGGGCTCCATCTGTTGTTACTTGAGGATGAAAACTTGCCACTCTTGTCAGATATGTGGTTTACCCCATTCAGACCAGTTTTACCGGTCGCCTTGATGTCAGTTTATGGAGGGGAAGATTTTTTTTATTTTAGAGCAGGAGTCCTTGCCAGGATTCTTTACCAAAGACGCCCTTGAAAACCTTTCTGTATGTTATTTCCTGGGTTTTAGAAACTTTCATCTATTAATGATTTATTTAATTATTTCCTATACCTTATTAATTATAGGAAAATAGTAAACAGGAAAAGCAACAGAATCTTGTTGAAAGAGACAACTGGTCCTATTATTAAATGGTGATCTATAATTTCTATTGGGTGTTTGATATATTGGATGTAACACAGAATTTACCTCTATTCCCTCTTCAAAACTCTGAGGGTTGATGTTGATGATTGTTTGGACCAACTTTCTTTTATAGTCTCACACTTAAGGATCACATGGACAATAGGCAGGCTATATATAGAACATAACTTTAATTTACAAGTGGCAGCAAGCTCAGAAACGCTGTCCATTTTTCTATAGTAACCAGCCCAGGAAACCAGGAAAATAGGTCAGACATACAGGCAATCAGACTAATCCAGTAACTATCCAAGAACAATCCAGGTACAGTAACAATCCAGGAAGCTATACGATAACTCATAATAGGCCCAAAATGACTGGAACTTGACTAAGAACTGATCATTTCTCTACTATTTGTCCCTGCTTCCAACTTAGAAACAACCATAGAAAGCTGAATGTGTACCCCAACCACTGACAAAGAGGATGTCACTTCTAGTTGGTCCACCTGCAGCCTTAGGGAATTCCCAAGTCTCTCCTTATCCCCCTGTAAAGAGTTACCGTGCCTCTGCCTGCGAATGAGTCTTCTCAAGTGCGAGTGATGTAACTGACTTCCTTGCTGTAGAAAATTCTAAGCAATTTCCTTATCCTTATTTGGTTGGTCTTCATTTATTTCAATAGAGTTATAAAATGGGGATAATAATAGATAATAATAATATGCATAGGTTTATCATAAGCTCCAATGGAGACTCATTTATTTAGTGTTTGCTTTCAAAGCACTTATTGCATGCATTATTATTATTGATCCTTTCTCCACCAACTCCCTGCGTTCTTGGAAGGATGTAGCACTTTGTTCCACTTGCCCCTCTATTCCTGCCCATCCTCCCACCTGCCTTGCTTTGAGGAGGCTGTGACAGGCTTACGTCCCAATGCTAGCTGATTGTCGAGTTTTGTGACTTCTCTGAGAGACCCATCAAATGATTGGATTCTGAAAATGGAAAAAATTGGTTCCTGATTTTGCACACCCTGACCACGCATGAGACTTGGGCCCACAGTGATCCCTAAAATTGATGGGACTGATGAGGAATGGCACCTTCCCTCCCCTTCCTTTGCCCACTGGGAATACACGGCAACTCCAAATTTACTTACAGAGGAACAGAAGTGTTAATTATTATCCCTCAGGTTCTATTGTTATTTCTGATCTAGGTCAGTTGACCTTTTTGCTGCTGTTCTTTGAAAACTTAAATTCATTTCTACTTCATATCCTGGCATTGCCAGTTTTTAAAATTTCTCCTTCATGTGCTTTACTCTTTAGAACCTTCATTTGGAACTTCTAATTTTTTTCCCTAAAATTTTAGAGGAAGACATTTTCCCCTTGAGGCTACTGAGCAAAATTGAATGGGAAATAAATTGTTATAGTTGATTGCCTTAGAGAAATTTTCAGTAATCCCATGAGCATTAGAGTCAAAAAGGATTTGTGATATCATTCAGTACATTGAGAGTCTTAGTTTTTCACCAGTGGCCGTTGTTATTATCATCTCACTCATGGATCACATGCTTTGAAAAATAATTGTCTATTTGGGAAGCAGCACTTTTAAGTCAAAAGGTGATTTAGGTTTACTTTTATTTTTATTCTGTGAAGATAAGTAACTGCCAAGCCAAATCTCAAGTCAGTATTAAGTAAATAGTGTTTTTACTTGCAGTGAATATAATTCCTTCTAAGTGGAGGAACCTGACATTTGGTCAGTGTGATTAGGCTTATCATTCCTAAATATTTATATGATTTCCCATAGGTCTTGTACAAGCAGCATAGCTAGAGAAACCACCCCCCGCCCCCATCACTTCCTCAGGTCATGGGCATCCTGGTTCTTAGGTTCTAGGGCTCAAACTAATTCAATCCCCACTTATTGCAAAGCTGGGAATAAGTCCAAAGAAGGACCCAAATTGGTTAGACCTGACTTGAGACCTTCTCTAATTCTCTAAATCTTATTCCAAGACTTATTCCACATATCCTGAAATTGTGTCTTATTTTTAGGCATTGAATCCATTGTTGGGTCCAGAGCCAGCACACTGCTGTTCTGGGGCAAAGTAATAATAGTAACTGGCACTTATCAGGCGCTTCCCACTTAAGATCTAAATGCTTTACATACATTAACACATTTAATTTTCACCACTCTTGTATAAAGCAGGAACTATCATTATCCCCACTTTACAGAGAAGCAAACTGAAATAGATTAAGTAGCTTGACTCCGGTCACACAGCTGGTAAGTGGTAGAGACATAAAGCAGAATTCAAGAAAATTTCCTCTGGCAAACCTGGTCATCATCACTTCCTGAGACAGGAGGGAAGTGTCTCTTAAGGGCTGGGAGCACAGAGAAAAGCATGGGACCTTCCCAGCAGAGATAGGAGTTAGTATGAATCATGTCTGTTAATACCATGTTGTGGGCACCACTGTGAACAACACCCAGGGTACCATCCGGCACAGCAGAGGGTCCCCAGCTTCTGCTGGTAGGATGGGATGACCGAGGTTTCCTGGGGAAAGTGACACTGAGCTGATTCCTGCTGGATAGATGTGGGTGAGCCAAGTGGAGGAGGTGGGGAACGAGCCAATGTGAGCAATATCTTTAGGGAAACAAAATTCAGAGGTATTTCTATAGAATAAAGTGCCCGTGGGTGGCTGTGTTAGTTTCCTAGGGCAGCTGTAACAAATGACCACAGACTGGGTAGCTTAAAATAACAGAAATTCGTCCTTTCACAGTTCTGGAGGTTACAAGTCTGAAGTTAAGGTGTCGGCAGGGCCTCTCTCTGGGGGCTG